AGTAACTTTATAATATTACACTAATAGTTTTGTAGAACAATACTTTATAATTTATAGTTTATATTTTAGATATAATTTTTGTTAAATTTGTTTTTTTATTTTATTTATAACTAGCCTCTTTGGGACTATGGTTTTTATTCAAGTTTATAGATAAGAAGCTCATATATAGAACCTAGTATATTTATATGCAAATATAGCTTGTATCACTAGTATATCTACGCCACAATTATCTGTTATAAGAAGTCCCAGATGCTTTCCCGATACTCTTAGGACTAATTTATTCTTAAGGCATCGTTAGCTAGAGCTTTCCATATCACAATCTTGTTAACCTAGACTTCAGTAACTTATGCTAAGTTCGAAGACAAGTACTTGCGAGCTAAAGCTGCTATCATTACCTACTTCTGCTCTTGCAGAGTTTACCCAAACCCTAGCACATACTTTATGGACTCACACTGACTTTCATTTACCATCAACACCCCAAACTCCCAATTTAGATAGCCCAGAGAGGGACTAGTAGGCATCTCTTTGGTATTTTAATTGAATTCTTTTTTCTCATTTATATAGGGCTTACTCCCATATACTCGTGGTCTGGATAGTATTAGTGTCTTGCCAAACACCCGGTCTTCGTCTAGTTTTATCGTCGATGTCTGATTGCCAATGATCATTCTTTACGTAGTACTGTTAAAAATCTGTGCTACCTCTCAACTTGGGACTTGCCAAGTGGGCTTCCGTATATTGTGAGCTCAAGCCCTGGATTTACATAGTTATATAACTCATGCATTATACAGCCTTCCAGAACAAGCTGATATGATCAAGGTTACAGATGCTACCACTCCTCAGAATGTCACACAGTATACCGTAACACATTCTGTAAAGTTCGAATTTCGTCACTAGTAGGATTCGAACTCTTGTTTTGCCACTTGGAGTGCGATAACTTACCAACTTCACTAAGTCGCCACACTCTCATTCTTGTTAAATTTATATTGTATTAGAATTTATATTGTATTTAGAATAGTTAGAATATTGAAATATATATTAGTGTGAGGGTGTGGCGACTTAGTGAAGTGGTGAAGTTGTCGCACTCCCAAGCAGTAGAGTATAAGTTCAATTCCTACGGAAGACGAAAAATTGAATTTAGAAAAACGGATTCGGCAACTATCGTCGTAACTGGGAAAACTTGAGACCCTGTAACTGTGGTCATACCAAGATAAAAATTGGAAAATTCTGAGGCATTTGTGTAATAAAGGAGTTACACAAAGGCATGCAAGCCGGTTTAGTCGGTACAAACCCAAGATAAGTCCTTCGGAATCGCAGAAAGCCACAGAGCCAATACGGCGGTGAGGCGCTCGCTTGGGAAGTTCTGAGTAGAGAGGTAATACAGATCTTTGACGGTACTACATGCAGATTACTATCTGGGGAACTGGATAAACTGAATAGGACCAAAGTGTTCGACAAGACACTCCACCAACCAGGCCGCCGGAAGAGTAACTGGAAGAAAAGGACCCAATCATGGAGACCAGGCAGTGTTGTACATGGAACATTGTCCCATAAATTTTTAGGAACATAGATGTTTGGAACAATGTTCCATGTCCCATGTTCCAAATAATGTCCCAATATAGTATTGTACATAGGACATTGTCCAATCAAATTTTTATGTTCAGGACAATATCCGGGACAAATGGGGTTTTTGCCTTGAAAATGACCTTACGGTATCATATACCGTAAGGTCATTTTCAAGGCAAAGACTCCAAATGTCCCATGTCTGAAGTCACGTGTTTTATTTTAGTTATATGTACATATATAAAAAGATTTGATATAAGAACTAATTAAAATTTTATTTATAAAGTGATTCGAACGGTCTATATAAAATTCTTTATTACTATAGCTTTTAATTAGTGATGCAGTAAAGTCGTTTCAATAAATTTTTTGATATGAGAAGTCATAGTTATAACAATTTATAGTGATAGTTATTAAACTATAAATAAGTGCAACTATAATTTGTCGTATCCTATGATTATACTATATTGTTACTCTTAATATTAATATTAAATAACTTAGTTCAGGATTTAAATCGCTATTGTTTAAGCAAACTTGTTTGAACTAGTTAGTTCGTTATTATTTATAAAACTTTAAACACTATAGATATAGAAACTAGTTTTAAAATAAGATTAGATTTATCGTTGTATTATATTTTATTTGTTTAAAACTAGATTTTTCAGGTAATAAATTAATTAAACTTTATAAATCTTCCATAATCTTCTATTCTCGTTACATATTTTATATAATGCCGCTGTTACCTTCTTTACTGAATAATTACATTATAAAGACGAATATTAAAATTAACTCTAGTAATTTTAAAACATTTTGTAAACCATGTGTTAATGCTTTAGGAGAAGAAGAAGGGAAAAAAGTTTATTTTTCAAATAAGAAAGATCGTATTATTCAACATCTTAAAAAATGCACACATTTTTTTACAACTACTACGGCTGAATAAAGAACTGAAATTTTTAGTCTACTTTCAAACAATCCTATAGTTCCAAATAAACGATTATGTATATTTTTAATATTATATAATTTAAGTTGTTCTATTATATAATTTTTTAATAACTTATAGTATGTATTATTTAGGTTTAGAAAGTGATATTTCAACTATATCGCAATCATCAAGTTCATCTCAACCAAAACAGCGTAAAACTTTAGTTCAGTCAACAGTAGATGATAATTTTATTGTTAGATCATTATCAAAAGAAGATTATAATCAATTTTATCAATATTTGCTTCATATGACTGTTTCTTGTGGTTGGTCGCTATCATGGGTTTATAATCCAGAAGCAATAGAATGTTTTAAGTTTTTAAATCCTTGTCTTAAACTTCCTGATCGTCGTTCTCTTGGTGATAAAATTTTAAATAAAGCTGTAGATAGTATAGAAAAGTCAATGGAGATAGTATTGAAGGAAGATTTAGTAGGAGTTACCTTAACATATGACGGTTGGACAAATGTGAAAAATAAACATCTTTTAGAAACAGTTATATTAACTTCTAAAGGAAAGCCCTATATTTGAAAAGTTTTAGATATAAGTTCTGAACGAGAAAATCATATTGAGGTTATGAAAAAGACTGAACTTATGATGAATGAATTAAAAGAAAATAATATTAAACTATATGCAATTGTTACGGATAGCGCTGGAGCTTATGCAGCAGCTAGATATATATAATTTATATTTAATTTTTAATTTTATAATTATTTGTGACATTATTAAAAATTAATTTTTTATATTAATATATTTTTAAATAGACGCAAGCTAAGAATTTCTTACAAATCGGTAGTTTTTTACCATGTTATGCTCATCAACTTAATCTTTGTGTAAGCGAGATTTTTAAAGAATCTACTCAATTCAAAATGACGATTGATCGTGCAATCAAATTAATTAATTATTTTCAGAATGCAAACAATCAATTTTTTATTGGACAACTGCGAGATATACAATATAATATATATAAAAAATTTTTTTCTGTAGTAGCATCTGGTGAAACAAGATGAAACAGTCTTTTTTATATATGTACAAGTCTTATCAAAATCCAAAAAGCATTAGAAGTTAGTAAATTTAAAAAATATTTATAATTTTGTAAATTTAACTATTTATTTATTAAATATATTTTTAGATTCTAGCAGTTAAATTTAAACCACCTTTTACTGAAATTCGACGACGTACTGGAGACAATTTTATTCAACGAGAAATTTATGAAATTATTGTTTTAGATAGATTTTGGGATGATATAAAACAAATTATTGAACTGTTAACTCCATACTGTATTTTACTCAATATTCTTTAGTGTAACAAAGCTCGTTTATTTCAAATTGTACATAGTATGGGATATTTAGTACAATTTTAGTCAAATTATCATGATACTTCTCTTGCATTACGATTAATTGAAAGGTTAGAATGACGATAGAGTGAATGGAAGCAGCCACTTCTATTACTTTCTTTAATTTTACATCCTGAATACCGTATGAAAAAGTTTCAATGTACAGTTCCTAATATTAGCTGTACTATATTTAGAGAATGGCTTGCACATTATTACCATGTATGGTTTGGAGATGATCTTAAATCTATTCTTCGTGAATTTGATAATTACCGATTAGAAAAGTATCTATTTGACCATGAAATATTTCAACAATTTAAGGATTGTATTTTATCTTATTGGAGTTATGCTGGAGATTCAACAATAGAATTGGGACCTGTGGCTTGCAGAATTTTTGGTATTTGTATAAATGCAGCATCTGTTAAAAGACTTTGGAGTTGCATAGGATTTATACAAAATAATCGAAGAAATCGACTAAGGTTTAAGCTATTTAACTTATATATATATATATATATTGTTTATATAATATTTATATGTATTTTTATTTATTTATTTTTTTTTTATAAATTAGACATCAAAGGCGCTTAATATGGGTAAACTAAAAGCTGATATTAAATACAAACATCGTCAGCAACAAAATCTTGATATTCATACAAATTTAGAAGCAAATAAGACTCCAGCTATAGATAAACCAATTTTAGAAACAAATCAAACTTCAGAAATAGATAAACCAAATTCTAATGCTAATAATGAAGAAAACAATTATGAAATAATAAATGAAGATAACAAACAACCATATTATAATGAAATTAATAGTGAAAAAGCTAACGAAGAATATGATAAATCAGAAAAAGAAGAAACTTATAAAGAAAATGAAATACTTTCTATTTCTGAAGAGGATTTTAGAGAATTTCTTCAAGGATGGGCCGAGTTACTAGAAGAGAAACAAAATACAAGTTTGGATAAAGACATTAATATTGATTTAGATAATGTGACTCATCCCGCTTTAGATAAAAATGCTAAATAGCAATTAAAAAATTTGTTTACTATATTAGAGTTGCCATTAGCTTAATTAGTAAGTATTAAAATCTTATCAATTGACTTATTAATTATATACGTTGAAAATAATTCAGCACATTTTTTTTTTTAGTCTTCATTTACATACGAATATTTTTGCATACCGATATATTTTTTTTAAAGAAATCTGGTTTTTTAAAGTAGACATTAATATGTCAAAATAAGGTTTTAATCTATTACTAGTAAATAAATATAAATTGGCACATTTAATGCTTATATTAGAAATCTAGTTTATTTAAAAAATATAATACTTTATTTAATTGTTTTTCAATTCGTTAACTGGTATTATTAAAGCGATTAGTACTATATTAATAAATATTATACAGTATAATACCATTTTTAATTGATTATAAAACAAGGTAAATATATACTAAATAAATATGATTATTTAAAAAATTTAGAAATTTAAACATTAATTAACCTGCTTAATTTTTGTAGATTTCAAAACTAGCCTATTAATCATTCTAATAATAATGTCCAATAATTTTACTAAAGATCAAACAATTTAATATATTTTAAATATGTAACAATATTGAAATTATTAAGATTACAAATTTATTTATTTATTTACTGTATTAATTAATTAATTTCAGCTTAAACTTTTAAAGTTAACACTATATAACATAATGAAAATCAACAAACGTTCTGAAAAGACCTTGCTCTACTAATAATGGGCATAAATAATAAAAGTAAAAGGAACAAAATAATGTGAATTATATAAAGATCACTAAATAAAGCTTTAATTAATAAAATAATAAATTTATTTATTATTATTTTTTGTAAAGTTGCTATTTTATACAGTTACGTTATATTATTATAAAATATATATTAGGTTCAGTGACATTGTTCTAGTCCCAGAAGTTTAGGGACAATTGTCCTGGACTGTCTCAGACATTATGTTCTGGACCAATGTCCCTGTCCCATGTACAACACTGGGACCAGAGGCAGGTCACAGCCCCTCCGGGCCATCTGGATTAGTAGTTTGGAATTGATGGGATGACTGGGAAAAGTCTGTAGGTATACTGGGGTTTGGGTGAACTCTATAAAGGCAGTAGTAGGTAATGGTAGCGGCTTCAGCTCGCAAGTACTTGGTCTTGGCCTAGGCATAAGTTATCGAAGAAGACTAGGTAATACAGGAATAGTGGGTACCGGACTGCTCTAGCAGGTGATGCACTTAAAGATGAATCAGTTAATTATGCCAGTAGTCCTATAGGTGGACGCGACGATTTTGGAACTTGGACTGACTTATGTATCGCATGTTCTGGGTGAGGTTAGATGGATTGACATAGGAAACTCAGATCAGAGGGTTTAATTGGGTAGCTCAAGTAATAGTGGGTTACAGATACGGTATCTAGTGTAGCACCTAGCACATAGGTAATATACTTAATTAGGCACTCAAAAAGTGCAGATATGGCTAGAATGTATCTTCGTCAGAATGTACTTGTCTGGGGCCCCTTTGATAAGGGCACCATATGATCCTAATATCTAATAAAAGCGATAAGCCAAAGAGGCTAACCTTGACTATAAAAAAAAAAAAAAAGTATATTAGTGTATACTATATACCAGTATATACTGTATACCACTGTATGCTATATACTACTGTATGCTATATGCTACTGTGTACCATATGCTACTGTGTGCTATATGCTACTATATGCCAACCTAACAGTTATTTAAAGAAAAGCATTTCACTCAGCATAATGAAAGTTCGTTTTTATTGGTCGCTGCCTCTGATCATCAGATTGAATATAATTGGTTAACATATTATATAATACAATGTCATAATACAAAAATTATATGAAAGTCGGTAAAGTTAGTAATATGATAATGCCTTAAGTTATTCATATAACCAAAGTTGATTCTTTGTTAGTACGTTTTTTATATCTAACCAAACTTTTTAAAACTCTTAGATCAAGTTAGATCAAGTATTTTAAGGTAGTTTACTTACATGTAAAAAGTAGCGAAAGTACGAATGAAATTCACCTTAGTTTAAGTTTGTAACAGTAGAATTCTTTCAATTATTAGCATATTAGTGAGAATTTTTTTTTAGTAACATGTTTTCCAAGTTCTAATATACTTTTTGAAGCATTTAGATCAAGTTAGATCAAGTATTTTAAGGTGAGTCACTTATAAGCCAAAAGTATTGAACAGTAGTATTACACCTGGAACTACCTCTTATAAGTCCAGTATAACATTTTACTATAGCAACAGGTATATTAGAGAATTACTAACGAATGCCGATTTATGCTAGGTAAACTGAAGAGTTAGTGCGGTTGCGCTTTTAAGAGGATTGTGTGATTTGCAGTTATGAAAGAGGCAAACAGCTAAATGTATATGGAGATACAGATAGTCGTATCAACAAGTTTACAGTTTATTCAATAGAGTTTTCAAGTTATACGTGTATGAAGACACTATAACAGGGTTATAGTTTATTCGAATGATCTGTGTATGAAGACACGATTACTCTTTAGGGTTTTATTCAATAAAGTATTCGAGTTGTTCGTGTATGAAGACACGATTACTCTTTATTTATTGGTGAGGTGTTGTTAGAACAACGAGTTCTGTTCTTTACAAGAGAAATATTTAAGTCTATTTATACCTTTTGATCCTTCGATTTCTGTTACATAATTTAATCGATTTTTTATTTATTAAAAACTTCGCATACTCTAAAATGGTGTTTCGCGTTATTTAATGCTATATATTAGAATTGGCCTATCTATTTGCTTATGTTAATAATTAATGATCTATTTTAATGTTTTGGCTAATTACTGTGTGTTGCATGAGTTTTTTCTCAGTTCTAATTTTGTATATTATATGAATACGCTCTTTATCGTTATGAAGTAAATGTGAAATGGTTTGATTAATTATGCACGTGATAAATTATTTGACATTTTATTGGTTAATAAAATATGTCAATCATGTGATTTGCGTAGAACGATCATCAAATTATGTAACATACATGACAAACATTCGGCCAATAAAAACAAACTTCCATTATGCTATTTCACTCTTACTCCAACAAGCAATAGACAATTAAATAATAAATAGTTAAATAACTAGATAGTTAGAATAAATAATGAATAAAAACTATTAAATACTCTTTGGAATATTGTTCTCTAAATATTTCTATAATATTCTCTTTGTTCTAATGACCTTGTAATGTCTTTATTGTCTCCAAAACAAGTAAATAAATCCTTCTGCTTAAACCTTCTTTCTTGCTCTTCTTAAACCCTCTTTTTAAAAGTATCACTCTAACAATATTTAGAATATGATTGGTAGAGTTAATAAAATTCTGAGGTGGGTGAGATTGGTTTAAGTAGTTTTTCTTTAAAATATTCTGAAAAATAGTAGTGAATTGCTTTAAATATTTCATTATACTCTGTTAAAAGAGAGTTTTCAAGAAGTAGTTTATTAATATTATTAAATCTTTTTAGAATCTTTTTATAGAAGAGTTTGGGTGTTTCTAAAAGGATTGGTTGCAGTTTTCAATTTTTTGCTAAATTTCATGATAGATAGTTTGTTGTTGCTGGAGATTGAGAGCATTTTTAATTTAATGAAATTCTTCTTTAATTTGAGGTGGAGTAGATGTAGATGTTTGAAAAGAACAATTAGGATATTGGATAGTATATTTTTACAAAGTATTGAAAAGTTGGTAGAGGAAGTATAGTTTTTAAGATATTAAATATCTTTAAACCTATAAAAGAGTGGTGATTGTTTTGGTGAAGTAGTTTCTTTAATTTCTTTAATAGTTTTAATTTTAATAAAAAGAATATGTTTGGTAGTAGCTTTGATAAGAGTTTTTTGTAGTTGGTTTTAAAATTTATTAAGTTAAGTTTAATTAGTAATTTGGTCTATTTGTGAGTTTAGTTTTTGTAGATTAAGTGTAGTTTGGTTTGCATAATTTTCTAAAATTTCTTTAAAACAATTTTTTTATAGAAATTTTTTTCTTTTGTATTATTTATATAATTTGAGTTTGTTGATAATAATTGATAGTTCAAGAGTAATGATATTATGATTTAAATTAAAGTTGCTGTTTGGTAGAATATCTGTATACATCAAGAAATTTTTTAGATAGTTACAAATTGATATATATCAAATAATCGATATATATCAATTAGAATATAATGATATAGAAGGAACTTTTTCTGTTAATCACTTACACCAAACCAAATCTAAAAAACAACAAGACAAAAATGACTACAACTTCTTAAATTATTAAGAAAACTTACTTTAATGCTCT